GAGAGAGAGAGAGAGAGAGAGCATTGAGTCATCATTCAAACATTGATCACCATTGAACCGAGAGATCATTGAACCTTCGCTGAGGGGTCCCAGACCTCCATACAAGTGTTATTGATAGAGTCAAAGGCAGTTGCCAACAGGATAGGCTTCCTCAGGTTATGTTGTTCATTATCTAGGGGCTAGTGTTCAGTTGTCAGGCTAATTGCAGAGCTTTTGTATTGATTCTCAGAATTGGTTGTTACATGTCTGGGTACAGTGGTAGTAGGACCAGATGCTAACTCATTTGAGGCGCCTTAGGGTGAAGAGGTCCCTTTTTGCTTATACCCCAGAGGCTTTCTGATCGTTGACAAGTTACCTGATGTTTTATCCATTGGAAGGGACGCTGGACCCGGTTTCCAGCAGGTGCAGCTCCCACCAATAGAAAGGAGCCATCGGAACCATGCCGGCCTCTACCCTCTGGGGCTCTTACCACCCAAGGGGTAGAGGACTTGGCCCTGAACGATGATTATGGAAAAAAAAAAAAAAAAAAAAAAAAATCATCATCTTTCAAATTCTTTCAATTCACCTTCACTACCTACCTACCTACCTCTACTACTAAGGCTTATACAGGGGACTCTTGCGAACATAGCTGTGTTGTCTCCCTCCAGCCATCAGAGGGGTTGCATGTTGCCCCCCCTCCACCCCCCAACCATGGTGGTCAAGGATGGGGTGGGGCCGCCGGTGGGGGTCCGGCTAAGGCAAAGACCAAGCATTTTGCCAGTAGCTGCGCCTCCCTTTCCATCGTCCCCCACCCCCAACCGAGTAACAGCAGTACCTAAGGCCAACACTCTCCCATACACCGCACACAACCCACTCACACTCACACTGACACCCGTGTTGGCCACGGACCCTGCTAATACCGATCAGAGGTATCAAGCAGACTATCACCGCTGGTTGGCACTAAGTGCGCCGCAGGCGATTGTGGGGCTCGAACCCAAAACCTCCTGAATGCCACTTGCGTGCCTAACCAATTGAGAAACCTTCCTTTTTCTGTTTTTTTTTTTTTTTTTTTTTTTTTTCTAAAGCTATATTCTTCTCTCAATTTCACCTCACACTACCTACCTACCTACCACTACTCCTAATTGTAGGCATACCGGGGAACCCCGTAGCAGCCAGAACCGTGTTCACGAGAGAACATGCGGGGGCTGCTCCCGACCTGCAGGTGCGGCGGGGGGAACCTTTCTTTTTTATTTTTTTTAAGAAAAAGGGCTCTAGGTAATTCAGGAAACTTCGTTCAACCGGTTCCAGCTGGATTCGAGCTCACGTCTACATTTCAACAGTGTACGGATGTACCAACTGAGATAAGCCCGTTGGTTCCTCCGTTGGTTCCCTTTTCCGGTTTCACACCCACGCTTTTACCTTATTCGTGCCCTTTCGCACTTTTGCGTTAAGTAAATTGAATTCAAAAGCATCTCGATGATTCTGTCGGCGGTTCTCGACTGAAGTTCATAAGCTCAATACGCATACATTTCTTGCGCAATGTGAAAAGTTCATAAGCTCAATACGCATACATTTCTTGCGCAATGCGAAACACAAAGGGCAAGAGAAAAGCAGGGCACGCCACATAGCAACTCCAGTGAAAGACTGACAGACGAACTTGAAACGCAAATCGGGCTAGACAGCCAATTGCAATGCAGGACTGGGACCATTGAGACTCGGGACAACGACCGAGGCGTAAAATGCTTTCAAAATCCCCTCATGAAGGGCAATCAACGTTGCCCACAGAGACTCAAAGTGAGTGCCTAAATTCATAAATGGGACGCTGGAGCCGATTTCCAGCCAGTTGCAGCTCCCGGAGAACAGATCGGAGTCAGCAATCTGGGCAGGCCACAGTCTAGGGAGTGGTGCTGTCACCCCTTGAGTGGTGGCCTGCCCTACACAAAAGGGGAAAACAGAAAAAGAAATCGAAAATATAACCAAATGCAAACCCGAGTTAAGAACGATTAAATAAAATTCAACGTCAAGAATGACTGACATCCAATAGGTAGGAACTCAAAAAGAACTCAAAAAGAAACCGTAGCTAAACGAAGCTTCGCATACCGAAATGAAACCTGAGTTATGAATGAATGAATGAAATCCAACGTCAATAATGAATAAAATACAATACGCAAATCCAAAAGGTTCGAGTAACGTCGCTTTCCTACAGCTTTCATCTCCATCCTATTTCCGCAGTTGTGGCAAAACAACACCGGACAATTCCGGCGAAGAATAAGATCCACCATCTGAAAAACAAAACTCTCTCTCTCTCTCTCTCTCTCTCTCTCTCTCTCTCTCTCTCTCTCTCTCTCTCTCTCTCTCTCTCTCTCTCTCTCTCTCTCTGTGTGTGTGTGTGAGTGAGTGTCCGCCTTCTTCCCTCCCACGCACTCCACCTCCGTTTCTCAAAATGCACACACACACCCCCATCCAGGGCCTCCCCACGACTCCGTTTCTCTAAACGAGCAAATCAAAACACACTTTCTTCCAAAAAAAAAACAAAAAAAAAAACAACAACACTTTCTAGCGTTGGTCAAAACGTACGTGGGTGAGGAACGAACGCCCACAACGGTCCTAACTATAACACATTCGGTACGAGACAGACCAACGGCATTCTAAAAGACACTTGTCTACCCTTCAGCTGCGATACTTGGGAACAGCTGCAAGATTTCAAGCAGCAGCGTTGCAAGATTTCCAGCTTAAAAAAAAAGGAGAAAAAAAAAAAAAAAAAAAAAAAAAGATTTCCAGCTCCCCGCAGGAGATTCTACTTCCTCGATCGGTGGAAAAAAAGAAAAAAAGTAGAAGTGCAATCTGCTGAAGGAAGGAATAAATGTTGTCGGCAACATTAACTTGCGAATTGAAAGCCCACTCGAACAAGAAACAATACGTTCACTCGAGCGCACAGACACTCTCTTCGACAGCTTCACAGAGCGTGGCAGGCATCCTCTTGGCACCATGACGCCGGATGAGCAAAACGAGAATTAACAGCAACCTGAGGCCTTACACATGGAAGAAATTAAAAATCCTGTCCTCGGAAACCAGACCACGTGGTTTCATCGTATCCCTCATTGCAAGTATCATCCCAACAGCTACCCGAGTCTTTATCTTCTCATCCCTTTCTGTTCTCACGGAGGCATTAGGCTATCAACCCGGCTATCACCCTACTAGGCTATGAACCGGGCCTTTCATAAATGCCCATCTTGCTGCACATAGCCTAGCAAA